CCTCTCTTCTTTTTTATGTTTGTTACTCTTATGTGTATAACGCATCCAATCTTCATAAGTGATCACATAAGTGATTTCTTCTCTCTCCTCTCTTCTTTTTTGTTTGTTTGTTTGTTACTCTTATAACACATCTAATCTTCAGCATTTATGTGACCTTATTGTGTTGCAAGTGGGGTAAAACACTTTACTAAAATAAGCTCAACAGCGTTCTCTGGTTTTAATTTTTAGACCAACGTGTTGGAAACGTCAGAGAAGTCCGCGGGTGCCACACAAAAGTCTGTGTTTGCAAACTATTGTGCTAATCTTTTGTAAGCCTCTTCATTACTGCGTAGACGTCATGCATTACTCAATGGGTGGTTTGCGGGCACTCTTGTGTAGTTTGCTCCTCCTTTCTCTACTTCTTTTGTATGTTTGTCACTCTCTTGTGAACTGTTATTTCCGGGGTGCCTTGATAGTCGAAGCAGACTTTGTGCTGTTGAGGCTAGAGTGGTGAGCAGAGTAAGCCTGATTCCCCGTTTGGATTTCTCTGTTGACATCCACCCCTTGGCGCTCATATGACTTTATGCAGTTGCGAGCGCAGTAAAACAGGAGATGACTAGTGACTTCTCTTTGTCTCCGGTAAAACCTTAGTAAACTAAACTAAAGCTCGACACTTGTATGACATTATTGTGTAGCAAGTGCCGTACAACTCTTACTAAAACAAAAGTACTCACTGGTGTTTTCCAAAAGTACTTTAGCGCCCTTTTTTCTATTAGCAAAGTTTGGAAAGATGTTATCATAGCTTGTGCAGTTACTTATTTTTGAATAAGGGAAAGTGGGTGGCTGGAGGGCGCCATTGGTAGGTCGTACTTCTTTATTTTTTCTCTAATGTTTCTGTCTGTTTGTCTTACCTTTTCCCGGCACTAAATGGCCTTTACTGTCTCAATGTGCTTATATCTACTCAAAACAAACAAACAAAACTTAATCAGGGTAGACCGCTATATAAATACCTTAATATGCATCTATTAGTATAAATGGAACATAATGATAGGATGGTATGAATATTATGGTGTCCAATAAGCAGCCTGCATTATTCACAAATAAAGAGCCTTGGTGCTAAATAGTGTGTCGATGAATGGATGTTGGAGGGAGAAATTTAATAGAACAATATGAGTATGTGAGTGTTATTTTCTTTCTAGTTTGACATAAGCGTAGTCATTTTTTGTACTTAAAAATGTAGTTATTGTGAGCGTTTGAACATTTCCTCTCTGCATTTTACGGGCTTGAGACCGTCACACCGAAGTGGGCTGCATTAAAAATGTTTTGACTTTCCGAAGTCTTTCCCAGAGGGATCCAGAGGGAGAAAATGGAGTTGGGGGGGGGGGGTCTGAGGAAAATAAAACCTAGTAAAATGTTAGCATATATTGGGAATGAATGAGCATACATTAGAAATGGGAGAGAGAGAGAGAAACGGAGAGAGAGAGAGAGAAAGAGAGAGAAAGAGAGAGAGAGGAGAGCGAGAGAGCGAGAGAGATGGGAGAGCGAGAGAGAGGAGAGAGAGACAGAGAGAGAGATAGAGAGGGGGGGGAGAGAGACAGACAGAGAGAGAGGGAGAAAGAGAGGGGGATAGAGATAGGGTTGGAAGATAGGGAGAGAGAGAGAGAGAGAGAGAGAGAGAGAGAGAGAGAGAGAGAGAGAGAGAGAGGGGGGGGGGGGAGAATATAATACATGACAAAGAGAGAGGAGGAGACAGAGAGTGAAAGGATGAGAAAGGTGATGAGAATGGGTCTATCTATCTATCTATCTATCTATCTATCTATCTATCTATCTATCTATCTATCTATCTATCTATCTATCTATCTATCTATCTATCTATCTATCTATCTATCTATCTATCTATCTATCTATCTATCTATCTATCTATCTATCTATCTATCTATCTATCTATCTATCTATCTATCTATCTATCTATCTATATCACTTTTAAGACTTTAGCCCGTTGAATTAAAGTTGGCTGTTGTAAAAAAAAAAATGTATTCTGACTTTTCTTGAAGTTTATTTTTTTTAATAATGTTTTTCCCATGCCCAATTTCTAAAGAAATGACGCCATATGGTTTTTAAATTAAATGAGAACTTTTAGTAGGTTAAGGTTAATATTAGAAGACAAACATAGGAAAACCAAAGAAACAAAAAGTGATACCTTCACACCGAACACATCAAGCTTTACACAAAGACTCGAATTCTAAGAGCTACCAGAACACTCTAAAAATCATATCTTCGTCAGACCAAAATGAGTCTTTACATAACCGTTGCTTTTATCTCTTCCAAACCCTTAATGAAGACACTAGCCCCAGATACACTAACAGAAACAACAACATAACTTGACACCGTTTGTCTAGAGATAGCAAGAGCCAGTTCCCCTCTGACCCTAAGTCAATCCTGTTAACTACTAGGTGCCAAGTTATATCTCCTCTCTCTCTCTCTCTCTCTCTCTCTCTCTCTCTCTCTCTCTCTCTCTCTC